CCATAGCCCAGACATATGAAGAATAAGGGAGATTGTTGTCACATGTACCACACAGCCAGTACTTGCCAGATATTCCTACAGTTCCTTTAACCACTTGCCATCCTGAGGATTTACCCCCTTTAATGACCAGGCTTTTTTTGCTATTCGGCGCTGCACTATTTCAACTGGTAATTGCGCGGTCATGCAATGCTATACCCAAACGAAATTTTACATCCTTTTTTTCACACAAATAGAGCTTTCTCTTGGTGGTATTTGATCACCCGTGCGCTTTTTATTTTTGCGCTATAAACAAAAAGACCGAAAATTTTGGGAAAAAACAATATTTTTTACTTTTGGCTATAAAAAATATATAGTAAACTCAAAGTTAGTCATAAATTTAGTCCAAAATGTATTCTGCTACATGTTTTTGGTAAAAGAAAATCCCAATAAGTATATATTGATTGCTTTGTGTAAAAGTTATTGCATTTATAAACTATGGTATAGATACTGCAATTTATGCCATTTGTTGCTATACAGCGCTGCACTAGTTTAATTGATAATTGCGCGGTCATGCAAAGCTGTACCCAAATGAAATGTATGTCCTTTTTTTTTTAACACAAATAGGGCTTTCTTTCGGTGGTATTTGATCACCTGTGCGCTTTTTATTTTTTTATATACTATAAACAAAAAAAGACCGTAAATTAAAAAAAAAAAACACCCAATATTTTCTCGTGTCAAAAAAAATCCAAAAAAACTCAAATTTCGTCATAAATTTAGGCCAAAATGTATTCTGCTACATGTTTTTGGTAAAAAAAAAATCCCAATAAGTGTATATTGATTGCTTTGTGTGAAAACTATGGTATAGATAATGGAATTTACACAGCTTTTACTTTCTGACAATTACATTTCTTGAGGTGCTAAAATACCAGGATGGTACAAACACCCCCAAATGACCCCTTTTCGGAAAGTAGACAACCTAAGCTGCCTGCTGAGAGCCATATTGAGTCCATGGAAGATTTATTTTTTTCTACAAGTTTTTGGAAAATTACGTTTTTGTTTTTTTTTTTTTTTTTTACACGAAGTTGTCATTTAAATGATCTATTGCTCACACAAGCCATGGGTATATGTGGAATTACACCCCAAAATACATTCTGCTACATCTACTGAGTATGGGAATATCACATGTGAGACTTTAAGGGAGCCTAGCCACATACAGGAGCCTGAAATCCAATGACCACTTTGAAAGCCTGAAGGTGCGTAACTTCCTCATTTCACTTCCTCACTACCTTTCACAGTTTCTGAGGCCATGAAATGCCAGGATAGCACTAAACCCCCCAAAATGACCCCTTTTTGGAAAGTAGACACCCCAAGGAATTTAAAAAGAGCCATGGTGAGTATTTTGCAGAACTCATTTTTTTCTCACAAGGTTTTAAAATATAAAAAAAAGAAAACAAAAATATGTTGTTTTTTTTTTCTTCATTTTCCAAAAGCTTGTGGCAATAAACGAGATCTACAAAATACTCAATGCTTCTTATCAAATTCCCTGGGGTGTCTACTTTCCAAAAATGGGTCATTTGGGGAAGTTTGGCGCTGTCCTATCCCAATTTTCAAATGGCGCTGTTTATATCCTGCGAAACTGAAGTGATGAAATGCTCGTAGTTTCTGATTTCTTAGACTATAGAGATGACTGGCACCATTCCAGTCTCCAATCAGCTCTGTTGTCAGGTGGCAGAAACACCGGCTGCATTCTCAGGTTCCCCCGATGGCATAGGACTGCCCAAGAAGGCCATGGAAGACAGCGAGGGGGGGGGGGCATCTTCTCCCACTGCAATCCTGCAGCTAATTAGCCACTAGGATTGCTTTTACATGAAAGCCTATCGCTGGATGAAAAAAAAACGATACCAGGATGATGCTTGCAGCTGCAGGCATAATCCTGGTATAACCACTCAAAGTCCAGTGATGTAACAGGCCGCTGGTGCTAGCTAGTTCACCAAAAGGTAGAGCGCCACTAGTACTGGCACTCTGCTGCATACAAAAGTCATCATACGTTTCTAACATTTCAGCAAACTGGGAATGGGGTCAGGTATGCCTGATCCTAGCAGGGACCTCTTCTCCATCGTCTGAGCTATCTGTCAGGGGGCAGCTGCTGTCTACAGGTCTGCATTCTGAGCTGGATTCTGTCAGTGAGTCTTCCCCTTCGCTCTCACCTGACATGCTCATAATCCTGTAGGCCTCTTCACTAGTGTACCTTGCGTTGGACATTTTGGCCACTAAACGTATAGGTACGTAGTGCGATTCAGGGGAAAAAGAGCACCTGGCTGTCAGGGACTGCTTGAACCACTACAAACAATTTATCGGCAAGTGCTAACAGAGATCAGGCCTGATTCTGCGAACACTGCGGTTTTGTGTGCAATGTACCAAGTGACAGTGACCTACTGACACTGCATTTGCTGGGGGAGAAGGGGAAGGGGGGGTAAGAGTAGGAGCTAAACATAGGTGCTAGTAGGTGCCAGGGCTAATCCTGCTAACACTGTGTGTTTTTGGGAACACTATACTAATGTGAACGCTGGTATAGTGCTGATCTGATCAAAGATATTGATCCGTTCACACACTATACTATCAATGGAGGTTTATTGCAAATGTGAGTGTGTTCCTGGCAATCAAGGGGTTAAATGTGATTACTGGTGTACTAACGGGCAATCCAAAGCTATCTGGGAGGGGCGCTGAAGCTAACGTTATCTAAAGTTGCGAGCCACACTAATACAGTGATCAGCAAAAATATTTTTACACTGTATTAATGACACTGGTGACAGGGCAGTGAAGGGGTTAACTGGGAGGACTGATCAATGGGTTAAATGTGTCCTAACTAATTGTGTGCTGCTTTTACTCACGTTTTGTGCGGTTTCTCTCTCTCTCGGGGATGGAACCTGCCCAGAGAGAATATTTTGTCACTTCCTGTCCTGTGTAGCTGTCAACACAGGACAGGATAGGACAGGGATCGATCATCCGACTTGGGCCAGACATCACTGGCCTAAATCGGATTATTGATCCTTCGAGAATCAAATAGGGCCACCCCGCTAATCATGGTTGGCACGTGATTTTGCGCACAGTAGCCGCCCTGCAGCAGTAAAATGTACTGTTGCAGAGCCCTAAGCGGTTAATGTTGCTGTAGGCCTCTTGGCAGCCTCCAAGACAAGTTTTCTTCTCGTCTTTTCATCAATTTTGGAGGGACATCCAGTTCTTGGTTTTGTCACTGTTGCGCCATATTTTCTCCACTAGGTGATGACTGTCTTCACTGTGTTCCAGGATATATCTAATGCCTTGGAAATTCTTTTGTACCCTTTTTCTGACTGATATCTTTTAACAATGAGATCCCTCTGATGCTTTGGAAGCTGTCTGCGGACCATAGCTTTTGCTGTAGGATGCAACTAAGAAAATGTCAGGAAAGACCTACTAGAACAGCTGAACTTTATTTGGGAATAATCAGAGGCACTTTGTACTGACTCCTATTTAACAAGATTTTGAATGTGACTGCTTAATTCTGAACACAGCTACATCCCCAGTTATAAGAGGGTGTGCACACTTATGGAGCCACATTTTCTTAGTTTTTTATGTTTACCCCCCCCCCCCCCCCTCCCCCTAAAAGATTTCAGTTTTTCAATTGAGTTGTACAGTTTACAGGTCACATTAAAGGTGGAAAAAGTTCTGAAATGATTTATCTTTGCCTCATTGTTTTAACATTACAGAAAACTGACATTTTAACAGGGGTGTGTAGACTTTTTATATCCATTGTATATACAGTACACAAAAAACACACACAAATATTTTCCTTGCATTTCTATTCTAAACTGAATAGGTTGTGCACCTACCAGATTAGAAGGCATTAGATTACTATAAAAACCAGCTGGACAACTTACTGTACATTTGTATAGTTCTGAGGCTGCATTACAAACAGCACTGCAGCACACTTAAAGTACATCTAAAGGTCAATGTGTGACAGTCTTAACAGGTCCCAAATCCAGTTACTATGTGATATACAAGCCTGGTAAAGTTAAATAAAAAGCCCTTTACCTCCTCTAAGTGAGCCAAAGTTAGGGGTCTGGGTGTGCAGCTTTCAAAGTATGTCCACCTCTTTCAGCACTTAAGGTATGCAAGTGACACTTTTTTGGTGTTGAAAGTTTAGAGCTGAAACTTGTGTACCTAGCACAGTACTGGAACCAAAATGGAAGCTCAACAACCTGTTTATTTTCCTACAGGTTGTATATAAAACTTTCTATACACTGTACAAAACATACAGTATTTTTTTCCAACAGCTGCTACTGACAGTTTAGTATAGTGGAGTAATACTCCTCTCCTGAGAAAACAATGGAAGTTGTCATAGCGAACGCGTCTCCAAAAATGCTAGTTACCTGGCTCTCTCTGCTATCACTTACCCACACCTGTTGAAAGCCAGGAGCTCCAAGACCTGGGAACAGCATGACAACCAGGAAACTAGCATTTTAGGAGGAGATGTTAGAAATGCGGGTGGCCATATTTCTTTAGGTTTTCTTTAACATCAATATACATGTGGGGCTGTTAAATACAAAGTTATAGGTTTGCAAGAAGTAGAGAGCATAGGAAATTTTATTTCAGTTAAAACTAAGAACTTCAGGAGACCCAAAGATGAAAACACTGAACGTTACTTCATTATTTAAACCCATCCTGGCAGAACCCGCTCATTGCATTTTTATAATATGCAAAAACATAATCGCCTTTCACTTCAAAGTGAAATACTCTGCATAGAATATTAGAGAGAGAGAGTGAATAAGCCCTTCTATAATATAAGGGCGAGCAGAGAAAATGAGAGTTAATCTCTTCATGACTGTGTGCTTCCATCAAGGAGATGAGAGCAGACCGGAGATCTCTACATTCCAATATACTACATATCCATGGAGACTACACTAGGTCTTTTCTCTATGTGTACTAGACACACACATGACTGCAAAAATTGCATAATTCAGAATAAAACTTTTTCTACTCACCAGCTCCAGGATTGGACCCCATGGTAGTAATAGTGCAAAATCCACTGTATAGCCTGGACATAACATTCAGCTTGTTGAGCCAGAAACTCACTAAAAGTGTAATAAAAAAGTACTAATTTCAGATTTACAAATTTCTATAGGTTCATAAATTCTTGTGTTCAAATAATGAAATAGCACAAAACAACAGCACACAGGTTCCCACGGGAGCTGCTAAGCAGACAGACTATCTGGTGGAGCAGACTAATGCCATGTAGAATAAGGTAGGGTTGGATTATAAACATGATGAAGAAGGTAGAGCACAGCAGTGCTCAGCAAACAAACTGCACTGATAACTGAAGATAAAAAAGCGATACGAAGACCAGCACTTGCCCAGGGAACACTCCACATCAATAGCCAGCTAGTTCATCACTAACAAATGTCCAGTGCAATACTGCAGGGAGCCATTGTAAATGCACTATGGCAAGCCCAGAAAGAGCAGCTAGATTCTGCTCCAACTGCTCTCGTTCCATCCACTGGCCTCCTACATCACTGCTGTGTTCTGTAGGATGGAACCACAGTGCTCAGCACCTGAAACTACCAGAAGTGTTGTATATTAGCGTCTAATGGAGGGTGCAGTGCTGGAATGCAGGGGAGGCACAAATTGAAAGCACAACTTTTGTCTGACATTTAAACATTTAATTAGGACCCCTTGGAAATGTCTGACTGGACGGCACTACTTGGGTGGCGTTTCAGTGTTGACATCACGCTGGGTCGTCAGCAGCTCCCTCAGTAAGTTATTACTGTTTTTTCACTTTCACATTGTTTTGTTTTAACTGGATGACTGGCTCTCTTCTACAATAAACATTTATTTTAATTACTACACTATCAGTGGCTTTCTGTTGGCTCCTTAGTGAACTCTGCCTGTCCCAGTGGGAGTTGCCTTTTGCTGCAGCCTAAGAGGAGTGATTTCAGAGCAGAAGTGCATACACCTGGAGAAGATGTGTGCCTGAGAAACATGCAGTGTCTGCTGTACCTGTTACAGCTTATGGTTTGGTAATTGTGCATTTGATTAAGGTACTGGCACTTCGTGTTTTCTTTACACTACAAGGATCTGCTGGATGGTGAAAGATTTTTTTTAATCTGAATATATATTTATTACAGGTACTTATAGAGCGCCGCAAATTTACACAGCGCTTTACATATACATATGTATATTTTACATTCATATCAGTCCCTAACCTCAAGGAGCGTACAATCTAAGGTCCCTAACTCACATTCATACATGCACATACTGGGGCCAATTTAAACAGGAGCCAATTAACCAACCAGCATATCTTTGAAGTGTGGGAGGAAATTGGAGTACCTGGAGCAAATAAATTACTTCGATTGAAAGTGGTAGTAAACTTCGTTCTTTAAAAATCTGCTAACAGACAGGGTTTTTGTAACAGAAAAGAGTTTAGAGGTCTAGTCTGTCATAAATGCCCCCCTGCCTGTCAGTGGGTAATGCGATCTAAGCCACGCATGTGCAGCTAAGGCCGCACTTACGTCCCACTCTGCGTGCCGCTGTGGTATGACTCCCGTGCGCATGCGCGGGAGTGATGTCATCGCAGCCTGGCCAATCAAGCAGTTGAAGGTTCAGAACCCAGAAGTAGAGCCTGGTTAGCATGGAGGCGCCTTCGACTCTTTGGGAGCCATGACAGCCCAGGGCTAGAGGTCTCCGTTTACAGGCAAGTCTCTCATAATATACAGTGCATACTACCACATTATGGCCTAAACCTGCAGGGGGACACATTATTTCAGTTTCTCATAGAGACTTTACTACAGCTATAAGAGAGACTTAATGTGTGCCACATTCATTACAATACATTTGCTTAATACACGGCAAAAAGATCCCCACAACACTATGGATTAGATAAAGCACAAAGCAAAGCATATTAAGCTTGTTTTTTTTAGCTCTGGTTGTCTTAACACAACCTCATACTGAACAGTTTGATATGAAAACAGTCACTGATGTGATGGCACTCTCAATTTTTTTTTTTTTTACAGTGGAACGTCAATTATTTTTTCTGCATTCTTTTTTCTTTAAACTATTAAAAAATGCCAAACTCTACATATCTTCTCCGCACTCCAAGGCTAACCCCAGTTTCTTCCACCATCCAGCACTACTGGCCTTTTTTTTTTAGGTTGAAAGACAGCATATTTCTACCCATTTCTTGTGAGCTCAGCTTCTCACTGAAATACTCCCCAGGAATGCATTATGCAACCTTGGCTTACGGTACTCCAGTGGCACCCACAACAGCTGAGAAAGAGGAAGGACCTTTGTTACCAGATCTTCTAGAAGATAATAGTGAAAATTATAGGTTTGGGGGTATTGTGAAAAAAAAAAAAAGGTCTAGGGGAACAGGTTTTCAGTAGTGATGGAGGACAGTTGGAGTTCCGAAGGAAGGAGGGAGGGAAGGAAAGGGACGAAGGAAAGGGAAGCAAGGAAGGGACAAAGGAAAGGGAAGCAAGGAAGGGACAAAGGAAAGGGAAGCAAGGACAGGGACAAAGGGACAAAGGGAAGGGAAGCAAGGAAGGGACAAAGGGAAAAGGGAAGCAAGGAAGGGACAAAGGGAAGGGAAGCAAGGAAGGGACAAAGGAAAGGGAAGCAAGGAAGGGACAAAGAAGGGAAGCAAGGAGGGACAAAGGAAGGGAAGCAAGGAAGGGACAAAGGAAAGGGAAGCAAGGAAGGGACAAAGGAAAGGGAAGCAAGGAAGGGACAAAGGAAAGGGAAGCAAGGAAGGGACAAAGGAAAGGGAAGCAAGCAAGGAAAAGGGAAGCAAAAGGAAAGGGAAGCAAGGAAGGGACAAAGGAAAGGGAAGCAAGGAAGGGACAAAGGAAAGGGAAGCAAGGAAGGGACAAAGGAAAGGGAAGCAAGGAAGGGACAAAGGAAGGGAAGCAAAGGGACAAAGGAAAGGGAAGCAAGGAAGGGACAAAAAGGGAAGCAAGGAAGGGACAAAGGAAAGGGAAGCGAGGAAGGACAAAGGAAAGGGAAGGGACAGGAAGGGAAGCAAAGAAGGGACAAAGGGGAAGCAAGGGAAAAGCGGGAAGGAAGGGACAAAGGAAAGGGAAGCAAGGAAGGGACAAAGGAAAGGGAAGCAAGGAAGGGACAAAGGAAGGGAAGCAAGGAAGGGACAAAGGAAGGGAAGCAAGGAAGGGACAAAGGAAAGGGAAGCAAGGAAGGGACAAAGGAAAGGGAAGGGAAGCAAGGAAGGGAAGCAAGGAAGGGACAAAGGAAAGGGAAGCAAGGAAGGGACAAAGGAAAGGGAAGCAAGGAAGGGACAAAGGAAAGGGCAAGGAAGGGACAAAGGAAGGGAAGCAAGGAAGGGACAGGGAAGGAAGGAAAGGGAAGCAAGGAAGGGACAGGAAGGGAAGCAAAAGGGACAAGGAAGGGAAGCAAGGAAGGAAAGGGACAAAGGAAAGGGAAGCAGGAAGGGACAAAAAGGGAAAGCAAGGAAGGGACAAAGGAAAGGGAAGCAAGGAAGGGACAAAGGAAAGGGAAGCAAGGAAGGGACAAAGGAAAGGGAAGCAGGAAGGGACAAAGGAAAGGGAAGCGAGGAAGGGACAAAGGAAAGGGAAGCAGGAAGGGACAAAGGAAAGGGAAGCAAGGAAGGGACAAAGGAAAGGGGAAGCAAGGAAGGGACAAAGGAAAGGGAAGCAAGGAAGGGACAAAGGAAAGGGAAGCAAGGAAGGGACAAAGGAAAGGGAAGCAAGGAAGGGACAAAGGAAAGGGAAGCAAGGAAGGGACAAAGGAAAGGGAAGCAAGGAAGGGACAAAGGAAAGGGAAGCGAAGGAAGGGACAAAGGAAAGGGAAGGGACAAAGGGAAGGAAGCAAGGACAAAGGAAAGGAAGCAAGGAAGGGACAAAGGAAAGGGAACAAGGAAGGGACAAAGGAAAGGGAAGATTGTGTGTTAAAATAAAACTGGTCATTATTGCCCAACACTGCCAATAAGATTCAAGCTGTCTTTTTCCAGCTGTCAGAACAGAAGTCACACTTGTGCAAACAGGCAGCGGACACAGTTTTTTTTTTTCTTAACCCATATTGATAATGCATCTGTGGTACAAATACTATTTTATTTGGCCTTTAACCTCCCTGGCGGTATGATTATTTCAGATTTTTGGTGCTGAAAGCGGAACCATTTTTTTTGCATGGAAATATGTATTTTTTTTATTGTAGGCTGTAATTTTTAGGAAAAACTCACTGAAATCTGTCCGAACAAGAGTCTAGTAAACATCCCGGGTATGATAAAATTTGAAACACAAAATCATAAATTATAATTTAATAAATAATCATAAAAATAATATAAAAATAATAAAAAATTTAATTCAATAATATAATCAAACCAAAAACACTGAAATGTGAAATAGAGCGCCAAGTTCGCACATTGCTGAGCTCAGTCGCAAAATCGTTTTCAGTTTCTGATGACGAATTTCCCCCACGAATCATTATCACTCAATTCTGTAAGTGGTTCTGATTTACTATCGCTGTTCTCTAGCTGATCTAAACCGCTTTTGACCTAAAGGGACGCTTTTTGGACGCCATGGACATTTCTCAGTTTCCAGGCAGAAAGAACAGACAAAATGCAGGCAGGGCACAGGACAAAGCACTAGGGACAATATGTATGTTGAAACAGCAATGTTTTACTGTGTAAAATGAAAAAAAAAAAAATGACATTTTTAAAAAAAAAGTTTTTAAATTTCCCGCCGGCGGCGGCGGCGGCGCCCGTACGTCCCGACGTCACAGGGACAGGACACAGAAGCCGGATGCCGGCATCGGCCGGGGGAGATGGCCGGGGACGCTGCAGGGGACACATCGTGGGAGCGCAGGGTAAGGTAAGTGAAGAACACATGCCGGAGCAGTGCCGCAGGGTAAGCCCGAGTGTAGCTCGGGGTTACCGCTTTTGGTACTGAAATGTTACCCCGAGCTACACTCGGGAATACCGCCAAGGAGGTTAAAGAATTGAAAGTACAACAAACATGTTTGATTTTACACTAGGCATAATTTTGCATTTGATTTTGCTCTCCTTGTCATCAGTATGAGTTTGCGTGGTGAGTAAACAACTGTAGCTCAAGGATAACAAATACTCATTGCACTAAAGGTTGAGGAAACAAGTGTTCTGGGTGGGATGGACATTTACTATTTAAGAGTTAAAAAGCAAAACTTCATATACTCACTCTGACACAACCTCCACTCCCATTTTTGTCATGTAATAAGTTCTTTTGTACTGTCGAAACTCAGTCTCAAATATATCATCATCTTCTGCATCCTCATCTAAACCTAATAAATCAGCAAAAAAGCATACACAAATAGGTAATGTATTAAAAAACATGGAAAAAGACCACTTTTTTTGTATGGAATTTGAAATTGTAGGTTCCAGTTTTAAAATAATAAAAACAAAGACTATTTGGCTGCAAGCCAGTTTTCAACAGGAACAGTGTTATAATACCACCTAGCAGTCAGAATTAACACTTTACTCAAATGACAAACAAAAATCTGATTGGCTGACGCATGGCAACAAACACAATTTAATTTAACCATTCATCATATAGGACACAAGATTTAACAAAAAAATAAAAAGGCAGGATTTACGTACATTTAGAATCATCTTCCCCATCGTTTTCTAATGCAATTAGACAGAGAGAGTCATCGACAACCTGAGAAGACAAAAACCCTATTCTTATAAATATACATGTTCTCAAAAAAAAAAAACAAGCATTTAATGCCCTTTTCACTTACATTTGCAACATTTTGGCAGAGCCCGTAAAGTTGCAGAAATCTGTACTTTCTCTGCTCAAATGGACTGATTACCTGTCTGACTCCTCAGGGGTACGCATCTATCTACAGTGCCTTGAAAAAGTATACCCCTTGAAATTTTTCACATTTTGTCATGTTACAACCTAAAACGTAAATGTATTTTATTGGGATTTTATGTGATAGACCAGGGGTAGGCAACCCGAGGCTCTCCAGCGGTTGCAGGACTACAAGTTCCCTCATGCCTCTGCAAGTCATAGCTGTAACTGTCAGTTTTGTAATGTTGCAATGCCTCATGGGAAATGTAGTTCCACAACAGCTAGAGAGCCACAGGTTGCCTACCCCTGTGATAGACCAACACAAAGTGGCACATAACTGTGAAGCAGAAGGAAAATAAATGGTTTTCAAAATTTTTTACAAATAGATTTCTAAAAAGTGTGGCATGCATTTGTATTCAGCCCCCCTAACCCCACGCCTTCATGATGCTGTTTTGTCAATAATGTTCTCTAACAAACCTCTGAGGGCTTCACAGAACAGCTGGGTTTATACTGAGATTAAATTACACACAAGTGGACTCTATTTACTAATTAGGTGACTTCTGAAGGCAATTGGTTCCACTAGATTTTAGTTAGGGATATCAGAGTAAGAGGGGCTGAATCCAAATGCACGCCACACTTTTAAGATATTTATAAAAAAAATTGAAAACCATTTAGCATTTTCCTTCCGCTTTGTGCTACTTTGTGTTGGTCTATCACATAAAGTCCCAATAAAATACACTTACAATTTTGGCTGTAACATGACAAAATGTGGAAAATTTCAAGGGATAACAATACTTTTTTCAAGGCACTGTATAAGCAGTTAACTTCTCATGAAATATTTGTATACAAAAAATAATGAAATAGTATACAGAACTTCAGGAACAAAATAGTATTTATTACTGTATTTTTTTCTGTGTGCATATTATAGGAGTGGATAAGTGTATTCAGGCAAAAAAAAAAAAAATATAAAGTTTTAAAAGAAAACCCAGTATAACCTTAAAAAAAAAAAAAAAAACTTATAAAAAAGTATACTCCCAACATGCAGGCATCAGGTGAGGTCAGAACATCCACCTGATAGAACTTAATGAATGTGTGAACAAAAGACTAAGTAACAGCCTTGCAAATCTGAGAAACAGAAACCTGATGCTGAAAAGCCCATTAAGCACCAACTAATCTAGTGGAATGTACCTTTGTGGGTCTTGACATTCTTTTTCATCTCTGATGTGCCACTTTATCCTGCCGTTTCACTGTTCATTCATTTGGTGTTTGCCCTCCTCCTCCTCTGTTATCCTTCTTTATTTTTTTCATCACTGGTGGTGGCAAAGCATCCTGACAGCATGGATTTCCCTGGTCGCTAGGAGACAGCCTGTCGTAATGCACATGTGCGGCCAGCACACCATACTGTTAATGCCCACCAAATTTGGATGCATTGTGCCCAATGATGTCAGGCCCCATTGACTGTATTCTTCTGATCAGGCTCATCTGGCAGGTGTGCCTGATCAACAAAATGACCTTGGAATTTTAATTTATGCACTATGGCTATGTCCCTGAACAATGTGGATTACATGTCCATATGGGACATTTTGATTTTGGCAAGATTCTGTGAATATGGAAGCAATTGTATTGTCTGTTTTATTACGTTTACTAGAGCATTTTCGTAGGATCTATGATGTCATACTACTGATGTCATAGATGTGATATCTCTTTAATAAAAGTAGTTTGGACTTTATCTGAAGACCCATGGTGTGCTGGCAAATATTTACTTTGTTTTGTGGGAAAGGGGGACTTTGCCACATCTATCCAAACCACATACAAATCTGAGAGATGGTAGAACAATGTCCTGGGTTACGGTGAAAGGAAGAAACCCCCTTGAGAAGAAAAGAGACCCTGGGTTTCAAAACACTCTTATCCTTGTAGCACAAGAAAGGGTTCTTTGTAAGTTAAGGCCACCAACTTAAAAACTCAACTTACAGAAGTGATGACAAGAAAAGCAACACTTCGAGTAAAGATAGACAGCGGAAAATCCCTGATAGGTTCAAAAGGGTGGTCTTTGAAGAATCAGGTTGAGATTCCATGGATTAACTGGGAAAAACCATGTGTCAGACACCCTGTACGAAGGCCCTCAATAGGGAATGAAAGGCATGCTAAAAAAGGACCACTAAGGCTAAGATTTGACCCTTGATGGTACTCAAGATCAAACGTTGATCCACACTAGACTGGAGAAAAGACAAGATTGTTCCCACTAAGAACTTCCTAGGATGGAATACATAGACTCGTATTTCATGTGAGTGAAATACGTTTTCCAAGTATGATGGCAGGCATTGTGATAAGTCAACTTCCTAGCTTTCAAGAGCAAAGGCATGACCAAATCCAACAGGTCCCTGTCCCTCTGGACATGGGCTTTAACAGTCAAACTGTTAAAACCAGTGACTGAGAAGCAGGGTGGTAAACCACTCCTGGGACAGAAAGTTTGGATGATCGAGGAGGGCCCATAGAGAATCTGTGCATAGCCAGACAAGTGGTACATCCTCCTGGGTGACTTTAGCGCAACAAGAATCACTGGGATGCCCTTCACCTTAAATCAAGCAAGGAGCTTCAGAGCTGCATAAGCGTAGATCAGGTTAAAACTGATTGCCCCGAAAGTTAGCAGGTGCCTGGATCTGGAGATAAACCTGCTCAATTTATTGTTGAATCTGGAGACCCACCTGCAAAAAAGGTCTTGAAACAGCTCTGGGTGAAGAGACCATTCTCTGGAGACCTTAGAGCAAAGACACGGATGACTATTTATCGCATACCAGGGATCATGAATCAGTTTGAATACATCAGAATACTTGGAGGTCAGGCTGCCTTATGCTGAAGAGGAAATGCCCTTGAAATGAGTGTTCCAACAAGACAACGACCCCAAACACACCAGTAAACATGCAACATCTTGGTTCCAGACCAACAAGATTGACGTTATGGAGTGGCCAGCCCAATCCCCGGATCTTAATCCAATAGAAAACTTGTGGGGTGACATCAAAAATGCAGTTTCTGAGGCAAAACCTAGAAATAGAGAAGAACTGCGGAATGTAGTCCAATCATCCTGGGCTGGAATACCTGTTCACAGGTGCCAGAAGTTGGTTGACTCCATACAACACAGATATACAGCAGTTCTCAGAAACAGTGCTTATACAACGATGCATTTGTGTGTATGGAAATAAAAGCTATTAGAAGGATTTTGAGCTTTATTCACCTTTTTCAACACACTGCTATTATTTTTGAACACAACTGCATATCCAAAGAGGATCTGCTTTCATGCCTGTCTCTCCCACAGTCAAAGCAGCTGCCACGCCCCCCTGGGCCAGGCCGGCTGTTTTGACCGACAGTGGAAAAGAACAGAGTGGCTGGGTGCAGTACACCGATTATGATTGCCGCAGGAACACAGAGATCAGGAGCAGCACCCACCGGAATGATTTTCTCCACATTATCGAGATGATACACAAGCAGGGTGACTATTTAAAGTGGAAGTAATATTCTCATTGGGTCACTGCTGCTCGCCTCCAGGGGATATGCAATTCAAAAGGTCCTCCAGGGGCTGAAAATACTCCAATATCTGACATCAGATGCCATGTACCCAACTAATGTCTTCCCCTACATCATTTGTTTGTATGATGTCATAAATGCCCACTCCCTTAGCAAACTGGCATAAAGAAAGGCCATATGGAAGGCTGTACAGTCACATAAATGCCATATACAGGTGAAACTAAAAAAATTTGAATATCGTGCAAAAATTCATTTATTTTAGTAATGCAATTTAAAAAAGGTGAAACTAATATATGAGATAGACTCATTACATGCAAAGCAAGATAGTTCAAGCCGTGATTTGTCATAATTGTGATGATTATGGCTTACAACTCATGAAAACCCCAAATCCACAATCTCAGAAAATTAGAATATTGTGAAAAGGTGCAATATTCTAGGCTCAAAGTGTCCCATTCTAATCAGTTAATTAAGCCATAACACCTGCAAAGGGTTCCTGAGCCTTTAAATTGTCTCTCAGTCTGGTTCAGTAGGAATCACAATCATGGGAAAGACTGCTGACCTGACAGTTGTGCAGAAAACCATCATTGACAACCTCCTCAAAAGGTAATTGCTAAAGAAGTTGGATGTTCCCAAAGTGCTGTATCAAAGCACATTAATAGAAAGTTAAGTGGAAGGGAAAAGTGTGGAAGAAAAAGGTGCACAAGCAGCAGGGATGACCGCAGCCTGGAGAGGATTGTCAGGAAAAGGCCATTCAAAAGTGTTGGGGACTTTCACAAGGAGTGGACTGAGGCTGGAGTCAGTGCATCAAGAGCCACTACACACATACGGATCCTGGACATGCGCTTCAAATGTCGTATTCCTCTTGTCTGTTGCTCAGTGGTCCAAAGTCCTCTTTTCTGATAAGATAAACTTTTACATCTCATTTGGAAACCAAGGACCCAGAATATGGAGGAAGAATGGAGAGGTACACACTGCAAGATGCTTGAAGTCCAGTGTGAAGTTTCCACAGTCTGTGTTGATTTGGGGATCCATGTCATCTGCTGGTGTTGGTCCACTGTGCTTCATTAAGTCCAGGGTCAACGCAGCCGTGTACCAGATTTTGGAGCACTGCATGCTTCCTTCCGCAGACGAGCTTTATGGGGATGCGGCTTTCATTTTCCAGCAGGACTTGGCACCTGCCCACACTGCCAAAAGCACCAAAACCTGGTTCAATGAACGTGGGATTACTGTGCTTGATTAGCCAGCAAACTCGCCTGACCTGAACCCCATAGAAACTCTATGGGGCATTGCCAAGAGAAAGATGAGAGACATGAGACCGAACAATGCAGAAGAGATGAAGGCCG